TGTGTTCAGTGTGATTTTCTTTGCTACGCTGAACCTGTGATTAACTGAACTTACAGGTTCTCAAATGATGAGGAAGTTACTTTGGCAAAAAGCAGGCACCACACTTCCAGGATGCATGGAGGGAAATGAGTACTGCCATACACATTAGGTACGTCGGGTGCATCTGTAAGCGTTCCTCTCTGCGTGTCTGTCCCTGTCCGTGCTGCAGCTCTGTATGCCAGACCTTGGGCTCTCCTGGCCAAAGCAGCAGCACAGCTCTGAGGGCTTGTGCTGGCACTGGTGCTTCGGCCAGGTTGAGGTAGGAGAGAGGGAACTCAGGCTTACAGGAAGCTGACTCTTCATGAGCACAAAGACAAGGTACTTCATTCTGCATAACCTTCTCTAGAGTACGTCTCCTACTGAGCCTGTTTCTTAAGTGAGCTGAGAATGGAGGGATTTTAGCACATTCTGTATTTTAGGATATTGTTGCTATATTTTCCTATCTCCCCCTGTATCCCGGGATGCTGGGAAGTCGGAACCTGGCAGATTCTGTGGAGATTTTGGTGTTTAAGCTTTGATGAGAGTGGATATTTTTTGAAAACTCACTGGATTTTGGAAAGTGTGTGTGAAGTTGAATATTAAGAGGAGGGTTTGTTGTGTATGTACAGCTGCTGCAGACTGAACTCAGGAGCTCTGGGGTTCTGAATGCCACTATTGATCACTGATTGCTCTTTATCCACACACAAATGATATCAGGTCAGCCTTAATGGAAAAAGAAACCCTTTATCATGTATCAAAGCAGAGTTGACTCCTTTTTGCCATTTCCTGGTACCCTGCTGGTATTCCCATTGCTGTACTGCATGCCCAGAATGGGTCTCTGGGATCTCCTTACGCCACTGATTCTGGTGTCTGCCATCCCAGCCCCTCATGGGACCTTCCAGGGAGAGGTGTCTTTATGTTCCTTTTGTCATGTACAGGCACAGTGTTTACAGGTTTGCTCCATTTCACATGTCCAAACAGTGCATATCTACAGCTGACACAGCCTGTGAGGGTACCCGCTTGTTCCTGTGTGGCAAGGGCTGCTTTATCACCCCTGCATCAGGGTAGGCTGCCCCCCTCCTGATGCTTTGCTCATGGTGTTGGGAGAAGGGCTGTTCTTGACCCGACCTACTCAGCCTCCCCTTACAGAAGATGCTGCACCTGCCCTTGGGACATCCCCCATGTGTAGCCATGTAGTAGGTTACACAGAAGTACCCATGCATGTGCTGAAGCAGAGATGGATTTTGTGGCCACACCAGACAACTTGTATACAGACCGAGGGGGAGCAGGGATGGTGGTGTTTTAGCCCTTCCCTCTGCACGGTTTTCAGTAGTAGCGTGGGAGATGGCGACAGGATTGAGGAGGATAAATCCACACTGGGTAGTGAAGACATCCCTAGTTTGTTGGCATAGGGTGTCCAGCAGGGCATTAAATGAAAAGTACATTCTTCTACACACAGGAGCAGAAGGTGACAGCAGCAGTAAGGAAAATAAATCCCTTTGTTCTGTTACATGTTTTCTTGGTGGTGCAAAAGCCTGCCACTAGAATTAGTGGAGCATCAGCTGCACTGTGCATTTTGGTTACTTGGTCCTTTCTTTACATTCTTCTTGTTTTAGGGTCTTGTAGATTTGACAAGTCGGCAAGAATTTGTACCCTCTTCTTCCTCCCTTCCACAGACCACAGAGTTACACATGATAAAGTTTCTGTCTCTTTCCTCTGGGAACACTCCATTGACAAAAAGAGCTGAGTTACGGACTTGAATTCTACTGAATTGGATCCCTGCGGTCAGAGCTGGGACAGGCCCTGTGGAAGTCACAAAAGCTGAGTTGACAGTGTTCTTACAGACGTGAGTGCCAGGCTGCTTGCTCTGTTATAGGTGTGGATTAGATAAAGGAAGGGTTTTTCTTCTTTCCCCCCATCTTCAAGTATACTGAAGTAATCCTAAACTGCAGGGTCTAATTACCCCAAGCTGTGTGAAACAACTTCTCTTCAGTGGCTCCCTTGCAGCTGAAGAGGAAAGGCAGTAGCTCTACACTTACACTTATGAAAGGGCATATAGAATTACTCTCACTTGTGTTGCTTATCCCCTTCCCAAAAGTGCCTCAATATCTGTCCTTGAGTGGCCTGTACCTTAACAAAATACCTACCTTAGACCCATTCTTTCTTCACTTTGTCCCTGTCTGCAGTACACCCTAAAGCTGAGATGCTAAAATAGCGGAGGACTGGATCTATGAAAAAAGTGGTAAATACTTAAGGAACTGTAGTGCTAAACAAGGAGCTGCCAAAGAAAAGGCTTTCAAGAGATGGTGCCACTTAAATTCAGTTGTGCTTAACTCTAAGCTATGCTCATTTGGGTGCTGCTGCTGGAAACTGAGGAAAGGCTGCCCTCAGCAAGTGTCCCTGAACAGCAAGATGGGAGCAAAGGCTGAAGCCCAAAAGCTCGTTGCACAACAGCCCAAGCTGCAGGCACAGAGCCACTGTCCAGAGAGTCCAGGGTGGACTCCTGCCATCTAAATTCCCTGAACAGCAGCAGTTCTGTGCTGCAGGGCTGTAGTTGGCACAGCAGTGCCAACCTGCTCAGCTACAGCAAAACAGGAACACTGCTGGGCACACAGAGTGGCAGCTTGGAAACATCACGTTTCGGTTCACTTTGGGCAGGGTGGACAGCAAGTAGGAGTTCTCAGGGTGGCAATTTGGTTGCTGAAAAATGCTGATGGTAACTTATTTCTAAAACACTAACTCTGGCCCAATGGACTAGGCCAGAGCCAAGACAGAACCATGTCTGCCGCAGCCTTCTGTCCATTCTGCTGGGAGTCACCAGCTCCTAGCACTGCGCCAGCAATGCAGCAGTCTGTGCACCTGGGCTGGACACCAGTTTAAAGTCTGGTTGGAGATGAAGTGCCTCTTGTTGTGGTGGTTGCAGTTGGCTGTTTCTTTCCTAACCTGCCTTCTGGAGAGCAAGTTACTACTACTACAAGACTCCAGCCTTGCTGCTTGTGAGGGTTTGAGTTCTCATCATGGCTGGGCTCAAGGGCTGATGAAAGCTGTCACTGCAAGTGCTCCTTCACAGGGCAAGTTCTGCTGCCAGAATCCTAGGTCTTTCCTTCCAGAATCCTAGGTCTTTCCTTCCAGAATCCTAGGTCTTTCCTTCCTAGGACTGCAGTAAGGTTAATGCTTTATTTTACACTAAGCAATGCTTTCTAATGGCCACCAATGTAAAATTTCAGTAGTACCGGACAAACTGAGGTTCTTAGGTTTGTTCTTTTTTCAGTTTAAGGCTTGTAGTAAACCAGATAAGCTGGAGTTGTAACCCTCCCCAACATTTAATTTCAGCTCCAGCAGTACAGCAGCACTAGCACAGCCCTAGTGAGGAGATCTTGCTATTCTGGCACAAAACCTAGAAGTGCAGCATCTGGCAGCATCATCTCTCACTCACTGACCAGAGCAAGCTCATGCTACAGAGCTGCTTGATTCTGCTGCTGTGGGGTGCATGGAGGGGTGACTACAGCACAGCTGCTGTGCCAGGTCTTCAGCGTGTCTCATGTCAGGCATGAAACATGCCGCAGGCCAAGTCACCTGTATGTGTCTACTCCACACCAGGAGCAGACACATACAACAGTAGTAGTGTCTACTCCAGTAGGCTGCACAACAGGATAAAGCAGTTCCCAGTGATATATGGAGAGGTGACACATTATCTCCTCTGCCTAGTGAAGGCAGCAGCTGTGCATGACTTTAATTTGGCTTAGTCTGCTTAATTTGAGCACTGGGAAAGCTATGAGAACAGTATTGCTTTGACTCCATGTACATACCTGTGCTTCAAAGTGCAAGCTCTCTGTTGCCATTAAAAAGAAGGGGACGGTGGTGGTGGTATAAGATTTAAGCCACCACTCCTTGTCTCTTGGGCCCATATAGGGCAGAGGCTGCAGGGCTGGCTCTGGGTAGCAGTACTCAGTGTGTGTGTGACTGCTGAAGTGACTTCCCCTGACTGGTGTGCTCAGCTGGGGTACAGGAACAGCAGGGTGAGCCCAGGGGAACCTCCTTAAGTTAAATCACTATCGCTTTTTTCCTACTTGGAGCTGACCCTCTCTTGGCCTGGCTTCCTCCAAGAAAGAGGCCTATGGTTACACTGTAGAAGTGAGGGAGCTACAGTTAGGTTCCAGTGGAAGCTGCTTCTGATCTCCCTGCAGTATCTGCAGGGCAGGGAAGGAGCACTATTGGTTTGGACAGAACAAGCTGCAGAGGATGCATCATACTGCTATACATTTAGGGAGCCTGTCCCCATTTTTAACTTACAGTACAAGCTTTTATTTGAGTGTAAACCTAAAACCCACTCAGACCAAAACTATGCCACTTGCTTTGTTAAGTAGCAAAGACTAATGGGACTGACTCTGAAGCATGCATGTTAGGGGCTATCTATCTTCTACTAGGCTTCTGGGTGTAAGCATAGTCATGGATTTGCAGGGATGTCAGATTCTATTCTGGAGAGGCCTGCCTGGGGGGAAGAGACCCTGACTGATCCTCAAGTCACCCATTATCCAAGGAACTGGTCATATTGCTCCTCTTTATATGCAAGTACAGCCCTCTTGGGAAAACTGGCTAAAGCTTCTTGTGCCATTTGGTTAATAAAAGTGTTTCCACCTTTAATAGTTCTTTCCAGCTTCATTGCTCTACATTCAGTTTAAGTGAAGGGGTATGTGCATTTTTTCCCTCTGCTAATGGGACACTGCTGTAAGACCATGGCCCCCGGTTGCACTTTAATAAATGGTACAGTTTTCAAAAACCATGTGTAAACTACTTCTGTGCTTTTCTTCCCCCCTCCCTGCTCCAGTGCAGGCACCAAAAGGAAGAAAAATGGTGGTTTTACTTACATAAGGCCAGAAGCAGAGTTCCACCATAAGCAGCAGTAAATGAGAGAAATGCCGTTGAGTACTTGCACAAATGACTAGCACCACCGAAAATAAGTCCAGGTGGAAACTGAAATGAAGAGCTGTACTGCCATGAGAACTGACAATTTTATTTAACTTAAAACCCCTACAAAATATTTACAACATTACAAAATTTGAGGCAGCTGGATCACAGGTGAAGCCTTTGCTACCACGTGTGTGATGACAGGTACGTATCAAACAACCTGAGTCAAAGTTTGTTGAACCTGAGATGTGACTGCAGTACACTCACAAGAGATGCCACCGATTCTTCCTGACCCAAGGCTGATACCTTCTTTCTGTTTATAGCAGGATCTGCTAAAGCTAAACACCTTTCCTCAAGCATATCCAGATTGCATTCCCCAGCAGAATTTGCCCTGTACCTACCCCTTCCCTTTAGTTTCTCATTTGATTTTCAAGCAAGCATAGGTTTAAGGTGATTGATACAGAAGTATCTTTACTTCAGCCTTCCCTCGCCCAACACCTCCGTTAGGGTTGTTCCCTCTTGCTGCCAGCTCCCCACTGAGCCAGACTGGTTTTTCCACCCCCTCCATGGCCTGTACTGATCAATCACCCGTTTTATAGCCTGAGGCCTTCCTGGGAACAGTTAACACTCATGGCTCAGCTGCAGCGCCAGGAGCAGGGCTGGGAAGAGAACAACTAAGGAAAATGCCACAGCTCGTTAGAAAACAAACTACTGAGAGGGCAGGCTCTATGCCCACAGCAGTTCCTCTAGAGGCACAAGCCAGGGTCTGCATGAAGTCTGCTACTGCTAAGAAATAAAAGAAAACACCCTATTTTAAGATGAGAGAGGGCAAACACTACTCCTTATAGGCACGGCAGAGCTGGCGCTACCATCAGTGCTGTGCTACTCTACAAAAGCCTACCTACTGAAGCTCTGCCTTTCCTTTCACAGCTGTATCTTATGTAAGAGCAGAAAGTGATTGGCATACATGAAGAGAAGTAAAAAGTCTTCAGGAATGCACATTCTCCACATGGAGGACTGGAGAGCTCACTCACGCATCTAGAGGAAGACAGAACAGAATCAGTGTTAGCAGAGTAGCTGGAGAGCCATCCTGTGCCCAGCCACCCACCTGAGGAGCCAGGCAGCTCCTGGAAGTCCCCAGCACCACCAACTGTGCTCACCTCTGCCACCTGCTGTGCTGCCATCACACCTCAGACCGCCTTCCTGTGCAATGGGGCCATCAGTCTGAGGGGAACAGTCCCTGGTGACCACCTCTGTTCCCCTCCTGATGCAACTACATTGGCGTGGTGGACGGCCAGCAGCCCTTTGCCTGCCCTCCCTGCCCAGAGCTCCAAGTAAGGCAGCATGAGGGCCAGAATGACATTAGTGACTGGTCTCTGTGATAACTCAGCACCCTGGAGCTAAGCTGAGGACAGTGCTCAGTGACACCTCACGTGACATTGTACTTGGCAAAGACCTGTAGCAGGCAGCTCCCTGGTCTCATGGCACAGGGTGAGCTGGGCCCCTCTGCAGATTGCTGCCAACACTATAGCAAGGCTGCAGTGCAGGAGCGTCCCACAGACCTGCAGCACTCCACAGCTGGGTCACCACTGCTCCCCAGGGTGGCAGGATCACAGCCCTGATTGCATTCAAGTACCGTATAGTCTTAGTATGTCTTCATGCACATGCCCTCTCCCTTCCCCTGCTAGGTTAGTTACTGAACCTGGCACCAAATGTCCTAGCCTCCATCCTGGCTGCACTGTTGGCTGTTCAGCCTTCCACTTATGCTGTGGCTCCAACAGAGGACCCAGAAGGGAGCTGCCACTTGCCAGTGTTCCTTTGTTGGTGCTCTTTCTCAGGGGCAATTCTCTTCCCCATTCACTTGTGCCAAGCTCTAGGGAGGCCAAAAGTAGTGACCTCAGGCCCAAGACATTTGGGAAATGCAGCCACCATGTTTGTGGTCAAGCTTTCCCTCCCTGCAGGCATGATTAACCTGAGTCTGAAAGGCATAGCTCCCTGAAGACACTGCAGGGAGGAGAGGAGCAATCACATCTCTTTTCTCTGCCCCTCTGTTCATCCGCTGCTGTGAGTGGAGCAAACAGAAGCTGTGACATGACCCCCTCAAACATTCCCCCTTCAGCACACAGGGACTGCCATTCCCAGCACTCACCATTCTAGCAATGTAGTTGTGAAACTGCTGGCTGATGTAGTTCACTGTGGTGTTGAAGACACGATGCAGAAGGGAGGGCATTGTATTGGCAATTTTTTTAGTTAAGACCATTGCTAGCACCAACATGGCTTTCTCCTGCTCCATGTCTGAGGGGATAGCTCGTGCAAGTCCTTCCACTGCCTCCGACATGTGCCGGGTTATCTCCTGCATGGAAGGAAGGGAGAAAAGGGTCTCAGTGAGCCTGCCAGCACTGTGCTGGTAACTAATGTGTTTGTTCCGGCACCCCACAGGATGCTGCTCCCCTTCCTCCCAGCCACCTGCCTGTCACACATGCTGGACTGCAGTAAGGATGACCATCTCTGACCCAACACAAAAAGAAACAGACACAACACACATACCACTGGAAAACTTGGATAGCACCTTACACACTCTGGGTGCAGCAGCCCCCCTCCTCCCCAGGGTTTGTACCTGGTCTGCCAAGACCTGAAGTGGCACAGGAATCCTGGGGCTCCTGGGAAAGGGTAACCAACCTTCAACAGTGAAGATTAGCGGTACAAGCTAAAATGGGGATTGGCAAGAAGGCAATGCAAGTTTCACAGAAAAGCCTTCACACAGGGAGGAGCGAGAGAAGGTGTCCAAGCATGCAACCAACACTGCCTTGCTCAAGATCAGTTTCCCACAGGGACAGTATGCTTATGCACACAGCTAACTACACTACTCATGTGGAAAAGCAAGGTCCACCTTGTCAGAAGTTCAGTTTGTCTCAGCCTTATCAAAGACTGAAAGGTTAGACAGCATATTTGAGGGCCTGAAACTTAGCTGGGTGGAGAACAAGACAGCAGGAGTGGGGAATGGTCAGACTGTGCTGTAATTAGTCTGTGCAGGTGATAAACCCTAGTAGAAAACACTCATAGTGCACACACACAAAAACAAATCCCAAACCAAAACCACACACAGAAAATTGTTTTAAGTCATTAAAACCTGCCTTTTGAGCAAGAAGGTGGACCCTCAATTCAAACACAGCATTAACTTGTAGAGCATAGGAAACCTCATGACAGGCAGAGAAAGGCATACAAGCAAGAAAGCCACAGTTACCTTGAAGGTGCCAAATAGCTCTGCAGAAACAAATTGTGACTCTTGATCCAGTTGTGGACCCAATCTTTAAAAATAATAGAGGGATGTCTAACACAAGGTACCTCAAGCAACTTCCCTTGCAGAGCAGTGAGCCACATAAGATGCTGGGCCAGGGACCATATCGCATCTATTAGTGGAAAAGCAACTGCATCACAGAGTGGAGCTGCCATCTAGAGAGGCCTCCTTAGCAAGTCACCCTCCCAGGCCAACGCCCACTGCTGCTCCCAACACTGACAGCCCCTGAGCTAAACAGTTATGGCACCAGAAGAGGGTCTCGGTATTTGCTGTCCTTCCAGTGTTCACAGAGAAGTACAAATCAAGCTTCTGGCACTAAACCTGCCCAAATTCTACTCAAATAATGAGCAGCAAACATGAGGGACTCAGCACCAAAGTCACAAACCTTTAAGGACAAACACTGAAGCCTTAACGAGATGGTTGATTTTCAAAAGATAAGCCATTGGGCCAACAAAAATGAGGACAAAATAACTCTGAAAGTCACCATCTATTTCACCATCTGCAGAAAGGAAATGAGCCCAAAGAACCTTATTTGTGGGGTCAAAGCTGCCGCAGGATGCAGCATCATCCCTAGCAAAGCTTCAAAGATAAGCATTTGGGCTGAATTTTAAGATGTCAATAACTGCACCAGCAAACTAGCAAAGACTGAAGCAACAAGCTTGCAAATTCTTTATGTCACAGCAGAAAGAATGCACATCTAAAAGTGGAACTGTTAGCCGGGCTGCTTTTCACTCACCTCTAGAGAGAGATTCTCATTCAGAAAGTGCTGCACTAGCTCATTTACTACTCTTGCTTTGATTTCTTTATCAAACTTGTCTCCAGCCTCAGCGAGCTGAGCAGCAATGAGCCGGACAACTTCATCATGTACCCGAGGGTCAAACACTGCCAACACATACAGCAAGATTTAGTTCACAGGCTGCAGTCAGACAAGGTTCAGTGCAAGTCAACTTTTTGCTCATCTCCACTACAACCTCCTTCCCAACCCCCCCATCATAGTGCATTCACAACAGTTATACTCCCTATAACTCCCTTGTGTGCACTTGGTTACCAGAGACAGTGTGCAAACAGGTTTTTATCTGTAGTTTAGGTGGAGTGCAGCCTCACCCTGCCCCCAGAACACCACAGGAGAGGTCAGAACATCTCCAACCACAGTCTGCACAGGACAGGTACAGCCACCAACCTGCCCAGAGAGAGAAAAACACCACATGCTTTTTTCCAAGCAACTACTGTCTCTTTAAGCACCACCTCATAAAACAGTTTGGGTTGCAAGTGACCTTTAAAAGTCATCAAGTCCAACCTCACCCTGCAGTAAGCAGGGATATATCTCTTCAACTAGATTTGAGTGCTCAAAGCCCCATCCAACCTGACCTTGAATGTTTCCCATCACCTCTCTGGGCAACTTGTGTCAGTGTTTCATCACCCTCACCATAAAAAAATTTCTTCCTTATATCTAATCTGAATCTATCCTCCTTTAGTTAAAAGCCATTATTCCTTGTCTCATTTCCTTTAGGCAGAGCTCCCCATTGTCAACTGGGGCACAAGACCTATGCAGATTTGTATGAGGGAGGGCTATTCATTCTAGCACTTCTCCATCACCCTGCTTAAGGCTGAGGTCAATGTGTCAGCTGACATATCGTGGGTAGGGAGCAAAAGTCATCCTGCAGATCACTAGTGAAGCAGGAACATGAGCATCAGTTTGTACCACACTGGTAGAGCAGAAAGGGATTCACCCACTACCAGACAAAAGTTGTTCCAAAATCCTAGCCCTAATACTGATAGTGTCCAAGGAGCAGCGTGAGGCCTAACTGCTTAATATCATGCTCCTTGAGGACAGCTATCACTAGTACCAGCTTTGTAGCACTGTCTGATGTGCTACAGCCAAACCCCAGGGTGATTGCATGCTCTAGAAATGCATGTGGATATTAAGTGCTAAGCACTAGCTGTCTTATCTAAAGTGTTAAGCTCCCAATCAATACCACCACCAGCTGCTACACTGTGAAGTTCCTCTATGAGGAAAGCATCACGCCTCCAAAACCGACCAGCAGCAAAGATGGGAAAATAGTAAAGGCCACCACCACCTTCAGAGATCATGTAGGATGGAGGAGAGAGCTCTCACCTCGCTCACCGTTCTGCATTTGCCCACTCTGATTGCCATCAGTCTGAAGTTCTGCATCATCATAGGAGTAGTCACATTGCCATTGAAACAACTCGTTTTGCAGGAAATGCAGTTGCTCCCTGAACTTACAGTCAGGGGATACCTCCAGGAAGGTGTACAGCAGTGCATGCTCCATCTGGACAGATCCACTGATCTTAAACAGAAGGAAAAAAAAGTAAAAAATAAAAATCACTGTTATGCCCATGCCTAGGAAAAGTCCTGCTCAAAACGTCTACACATGCTCCATTTTCCAGCCCTGAACACATTTCTCTGGCATCCTTTGGGCATCCTGAGCAGCATTAGCCAGGGAGCCTACAGGACATCAGCAAATGCATATGAGCTCCTGAACGTGCACCCACAGAGAACTGCCTGATGGTGAATGATGGATAGCTCTGCTCTTACAAACCAGTGCTGGAAAAGTCAACTCACCTCCTCCTCAGATCTGCAGCTGTGGCAAAGACAGACACCCTGATCAGAGCTCCTCTTTTGAAGCAGATGTGTACTCAGCACTAGCCACCCACTTCTCCCTGTTCAGACATCTGCGTTTGGAATGTTTTCACCCCTGCCTTTGGTAATTGGGCACTCTACTTCCTGTGCATAACGAAGCCAGCAGCTCCCCATTTAAATGTAATCAGAGCACAGCAGTAACAGGGTGGAAAACAGAGATAACAGATAGCATAAGGCTGAAAAAAAACCCTAAGGTTCACATTTCTTCTCCCTCTTCAAAGGGATCTCAACTAGTTCCACAGTAAAACCGTTCACTTCCCTTTAGAGAGCCAAGCAGCTGCTCACAAGAGTAGTGATGGTGAGATGGCAAATCACTGGGGTCTGGTATCATCTACCCTGGCACATCCCCTCTCCAGTACAGGCACATGCTGCCCCTGCAGCGACACACCTCACTGCCTTCAAGCACAGCAGCACAGAGTGCCCAATTTAGTTAGCTTGAGGAGGTCCTTGAGGCAGACTGATGTGAGCAAGAGGTCTCACTGGAACACAGGGGCTCACAGTCAACTAAAGCCTCTGTACACAACCAGGCAACTGTCTAATAACTTTAAACATCTAAGAGCAGGATGTTGTGTAAGCACAGGGAAAAAAAGCGAGAGGAGAAAAAGAATCCTTACTCTGGTATGCGGACTGTCTGCCTATAAGATAAGAAAATGCTTAGGCTTAAATATAACTAGGGAGGAGAATCAGGGGTAAAGCAAAATGGTTTGTCTTGCCAGCTGCAGAGGGTGATAAACACGCAGTCAGGATGAGCTTGATAATTGAAAAGGAGTTTTGGGTACCTTTTGGGGAACAGAACCTTGCAAGGCTACCTCTAGCTACATAACCATATGAATATCATCCAGGACCTATATTGCCTAGGCAACAGCAGCAAAACTGGGACAAACACGTAAAAAGTAATTGAAGATGGGTTGTTTAGCCAAGAGGAGACTGGGCAGAGAAAAGGAGGAGCAAAGACAACAAAAAGTCCAGAAATAGAAGCAAGTGGAAAATAAGGCATATGATCAAATATCAACAGAAGGCACGTCTTCCATGATCTGAGCATGGATGTTTACATACAGTAGTGAAGCTCATATGGTGACCCAAGCTCACCAGGGCACCAGTGGCAATCCCCCTGAACAAGCCACCGGACTAGTCACCAAGTTCGTGTTCAAAAGGCTTGTAGGAGAGCAGAGCAAGGAGCATTACAGTTGTATCCTAACACTAGGTGGGGTAGGGAGCATGACAAACATTTCAATAGCAGTTCAATGTAATTAAGATTTAAGTGTGATAAAGAGTAACTTCATAATTGTTTAATATTGCACAAAAATGCAATAAATTGATCAGTGGTGTGTCTATTAATTTATTAGTTTTAGTAGTTTAGCTCTTTATCATAAAGATTGTAGTCTCTTAAATAACTACATTTCCAGCCTACAGTTTAAAGGAGGAGCATCACACTGCTCCCAAGGACGCAGCTTACTAAGTGGCTCCATCCACTTGTCTGTATTCAGAGCAGTGTCAGGGCTCCTGCAGGAACTCTGAATACAAGGACATGAGCCATCACTTCCGGACTCACACGCTTTGAGGTATCCTGGAACAAGTGCACAAAAAAAAACATTGACCCGAGTCACATTTGAATCTAACCTGTTCCATGATGGATTCAGAGACAGTGCAGCTCTTTTCACTTTCTTCTTCAGACTAGAAGTCCCCGCCCTGCAAAACAGAAAGAAAAGGGTGAAATTACCCATAACCCCACATCTTGCAGCAGTGCTCATGGGTCTGGCCATATCTCATGGAAAATGACCTTTCTAGTGGTGCATATCCATATTTCTGGAGAGCTGCCCATCGCACACTAGCAACCATAAAAAAAGGCTGAGGAAAACACAAATGTTCCAGCAAGAAGGGCCCTATTCACATCAATGATGGGCATGAAACTTCTTCCTGCCACAGCCACATGCGAGACAGTGGTGCAACACAACCTACAAATGGGGCTTTAAGGACAAGAGGTGGTGCTGGGAAAGGGAGAGACAGTCCTTCATAGTGCCAGAGGCTGGAATGGAGAGCAGTGTTATCACAGAGGAGTTTCTGAGTACCTACTGAGAGCAGCTGAGTCTCAGCGCACAGCGGTATATTCTACAGTGAAACACGCAGCTGACATTGCTACACATCTGCAGCACTTCAAGTGCACTTCCCTCACCCCCATGTGGGGATACATGCATGTACTCAGGCTTATTTCAGTATTTTCTCCAACAAATACCTAGGGACAGAGAAGGCTGGACCAAGTGCCATCAATGGCTTCTAGTTACATCAACACAACTCTGCTGAGCCTCCAGGGAGGCCTGCTAGGAAGGAGGGAGAAAACAGGACTGAGGTCACAAGCTCTTCTGCCCCTATGGTGCATGCTTAGAGCTGATAACCCTTGGCCTGCCTTGTGGCTGGGCACTACTGAAGGGGAGAGGCATGCAGAGAGGGAAGGGACATGGTGCAGAGGGTGGCCTCCCTCACCCACAAAGAAAGGGGAGCTGGTAGGAGCACAGTGCTCCCTCCTCATCCAGCCAAGCACAGCTGATGGCTGGGTCAGACCAGCAGCCTGAGTAGTCACACGTCTGTTACAAGGACTCTCAGGACAAGAAAGGCACTAGCAAGAACAACACAGCAAGGGCCAGTAACATAAGGCTACCTAGCAAATGCCACGGCAGGGAGGATACCAATCCTATTTATGAACCTTGCATTTGCTGCCTTAGATGCAGCAGTCCCACAACTGCACACAGAAGTCTCTTGTACAAGTTGGCTTCAACTCTTGCTGAGCAGTACTCTAGCTGAAAGTGGGCAGCACCTATCCACCAGGCCTTCTTCACCAAGGGCAATAACCTGGCTGCTATGCAGCTATTGTGACCATATAACTTCTGACCAAAACCAGGGTGAAAGCACCAAGGAGCCCAAACAGACAGGCTGCTATGAGAGACCTGGGCTAGTGATGAATGATCCTATTTCATTGTAACAAACCCTCACAAATGTGTTAAATAACTAAGTGTGCTGGTGGAAAAAAGGGAGAAAGTGAAAGCACAAATGAATTCAAACTCTGAAGGAAACCACAGTAATAATTTCATGAGACCATGAATTTCTCAACTTTTCAAAGGCTCTTATAAGTCCAACACACAATCTCAAGTATGTCTAAATATACAATAGCCCACAGGCAGCCTCTTAGCCACAAGTTCGTTTTACATTTAGTTGTAAGATCAGACTAATAGCTGCCTAGAACACAGCCTTAGGCTTGGCCTTTGCTGCTTTGTGTTTCTCTGTTCCATTCAAGTCCCTGTTGCTGCTACTCACCTCTGCCCTAAAGGGTGTGCTGGCTGGGGAAGAGCGGAGTCCTCTCTGTCCTCTCCTCCAGACTTGACAGTGCTCTGAAACAGGTCAGGGTGCCCCTTCTCCCAGGCCTGGCTTTGCTGGAGGAAACACAGGTGTTAATTGAGGTTGGAGAACTTCAGACAGAATCCCTGAGATTAAGAGTGAAGTGGGGATTTTAGCAGTACTCCTGTTTGGCTTTGTGCAAACTCCTCAGGAGTCACCACATCAGCAACATTCCTGTAAACCAGGCAAAGCCTCCACTTGCACATATTTTGGTTTTATATGTAACATTTTCAGAGTAATTCAGCCCAAAACCAAGGTGTGCATGCTACACCTAGTAAACAATGGATAACCTCTGATACTAATTCCTCCTGAGTTAAACACCACTTCCTGAACCATCATGGCTTAGCCCACAGGAAGCATGAAGTAGCATTGGGCCTCTGCTGATCATATCCATTTGTCTTGAAAGCCATTCCATACCCAGCTCCAGCCTACACCAAGAGCTTCACGTGGGACTACACCAGCACTCCACAGGTGGTCACGTTAACCCATGCTGGCTAATTCTGGCTGGGAACAGCCAGCTCACTTTGCAACATGAGTACAGGCTGAACACATCTCCTCAAGAAGCTGCTCCATCCTCTGTTCACACCACACTATGTACACAGAGGGTCAAATGTTCTCCCACAGTCCTGGCAGAGGTGTAATGCACCACAAGCCACTAGAGCTGCAGGTCACACACAAGTGGTCAGATGTGCTGGTGAAACTGACGTAGCACTAAAGAGATTTCTCACTCACAAAACACTCTACAGCACAGCCTCTTGCACCCAAACCTGGCCAAACTGTGCTAGGGACCAGTGAAATCTTACAGCTAAAGGAGGGAATAGAAACCAAAGTCAAGACACTCCCTTAGGGAGTCTGTCGCCTGCCACATCTTTCCAAGGAATGCTCAGAACGTTTAAACATGGCTTTAAACCCCACATCCTCCACATTTTTGTCAGTATTTCACACTGCTAAGAAATTAATTTGGTTCAGTCCAAACACTCATGAAAGAGGCAACCAGAAAGAAACACACTATTGTCTTTTTTCCCCACTCTCTGCTTTAAAAGCAGCAGTACAGAGCACTCCAGTATGGGAAGCAAGGGAGGTACACTTCTCCTTCCCAGAGCAGAAAATGCAAGTCAAAAAGACCCAGATCTGTTCTAGGCATGCCCATAGTTAGCCCTACAGAGGCAGGACACAGCAGATGGAGCCTATCTCTGCCTGTGCATGTTCCTCACACTAGTTCCTGGAAATGGGCAGGAAAGGTGCCTGTCGGTACCTCTACAGACTGAAGTGTTTTGAAAGCACTTCTGCTTTTCAAAGAGAGGCAGAGGCTTATATGCAGATTTTGGCAGAAACATCCTCCTTGGGTGCCTTGCAAAGGTAGAACACCTCAACAGGGGCCTCAATGCAGACAGAAAGGGGCTGTGTAGCCCCTGCCCTGCCAGGGTGCCTGCTGCACTGTTAGTGAGTGTGCAAGGGGAAGAGGCCTACATTACATGCAGTACTTCCCTTGCTCTCAGGGGATCACCTCAGCTCTATGTAATGTCAGACACTCCTGGGGCAAGGCCACAGAAATAGGTATTAATTTAAATCAGTTGCAAGTTTGGCCTCTCGAGCATATTAGCAGAGATAAGACAAAAAAAGAACAATGAAAAATCCACCACACTCCAAAGTAACTTACGTGGCAAAAAGTTATGACAGGGAGGCTTGATGATGCTAATGAACTGAATTCCCTGAATCAAAGCAGCACTACCCATGCAATGGAAGTCCCTGACAGGTTCCAACCCTCAGGCAATAAAGTTCTGCTTGGGTGGTCAGAAACATACCGGAGAACAGGAAAAAGGATTTCTCTCACATCACAAAATGGCTCCCTATTACAATGCCGGTATAGTTTTAGGTCATTACTTTCCATCAAAGCAAAGGCTTGGGTAGTCACAACATTCCTTCTGAAAAGCAAAATTCCTTAATGGAATGTCAAAAAAACTGGCCCCCTACAAAGCAAACCCCAAAGAGTCAAATGTTACCATCATGCTGAAGTCATCCCAAGTGACTTTAGAAACCTGGTAGCTTTAGATCAGATTAAGACCTTTTCTGGGGGATGGAAAAGGTCTTTTCATATTGGGTGAAAAGAATCTTTAGCTGGAGAATGAAAAAACATGAGATAAAGGTTACTTTACACCATTTGCATTCAGATTCAGAGTGAAACCAGAGCATTTGCTACGGCTGTTTTAGGGCCTTAGAAAGTCTTAGAATAAATATAATGGAGTTTGAATTTTTCTGTTTAAATTGAAATACTAATTTTAATTCATTATTCCTTTTCACACTTTCAAGTCACTCATTATACAGCAAGTTTCATGTGATAGCAGCTGCTTCTGAGAAACCACAAGATGACTTAAAGTGTTAAACAGATAAGGCTACAACCAGCTTTTTGGATCAGTTCTTTCCATTTCCTTAGGGAAAAAAAAAACAGATGGCATTTTAAACACAAGTTTAGGACCCTTAAATAGCTCTAAGAAGTCATCATGGGGCATGTCCATTCCAACTCAACACTGTGCTGGGATATGGGACTGTGGAAAGGCATACGTGAAGTACACATAGTTACAGCCAAAGCAGATCTATCAGCCTCTTGCCAGTGCAGAAGGACAGATCCCATCCCACCCCATGCATACCAGTTTTCACAAGACTGATTCTGTGGAGGCTTCCCCCAAGGCAATCACGACTTTTTAGAGTAGGCTGAGTACATCCTGAGAGATGGTTATGTGCAACACAGGTCCTTCAGGTCTGGTGTCCCTCTCATCTCCAAGTTGTATCAGCCATCAGCCTTTAAATCTTACAAATAACTCAGCAGAGCAGCTGTTCCCAGCTGTGGCCCATTAGTGAGGGGTGGCAACACAAGAGGACAAGGTCAGAAACCCCCAACTCCAGGTGTTAAGGAGAGATGGCACCACAAGGTTGTAGGACAGAAGAGAGGGAGAGGCAGGAATGCAACACAATTTGCACTCCATGGGTCTCTTCCTCACCTGCATCTCTTCCCACACCACTGAACCACCTCTTGCAGTTCTGGGAGGGGTAAGTTAGGAAAGAGTCCTGTCCACTGTCTAGTACTCCTCTCTTGCTGATGGTGCCATGCCGTCTTGGGGCAAAGAGGCAACACTGGCCGTAGCTGTACTGAAGACAGAACAAACCAGGTACTCCATGCAGTACCACTGCTACGTACTACGGATTTCAAAAGCAAAGGCTGCAAACACACGTTTAATTTTCCCAGGTGAGGAGCTAGACATGGGAACAATACAGCTGCAAAGTATACAAGGCTTCACCTGCTCTAAAACCAGCATGGGCCTCTGCTGTACCTCCAAGCACTGCCAGCAGGTCATCAACACCTCCCCACATGGCAGCAAGGATCACCTGATAGCATATTGTTATCTGTTAGGGGGAACTCTCAATAGCTCTTAAAGCTGCCATAAACAGGAGTAGGCCCCAGAATCCCTGCAATAGGGCTAAGCCACCACACAGCTTTCATCCCTTTGTCATGCTTCTGTTATGTCTTTAAGCCAGCTCAAGCCACCCTATGAATAATGCTGCTTCTTATCACCACTTCCCCCTCAGACCCTTCACCTTCTCCTCACAACTCAGCCTGTGAGTTACTGTTCTTAGCTGGATCAGACACTGTCTGGTTATGAAAACATACCTTTCCAGTAAAGCCACACACCTATAGGACCGACTCATTCAACAACTTGTCTGCGTTCTGAGTCACATTCTACACAAACACCTGCACTGGCACACCATCAGTCAATGGAGCTGTCGTGCGAGTTATCAAGATACTTGTCTTTGGGTCTCACATTTGAGTCAGGAGTGAATTCAAAGTCTTCAAAGCAGAAACTGCAATAAAGCATTAGTCACTGACAAGGAAACCCCTTCCAACCTCTGCACTGCTTTCTCTGCCTAGCAGCTCAAAGCCAAGAACTTTATATTTGGCAGTCAGGATGACATCGTTATTGAAGAAATAAAGTGGTGCCTATTTGTCCCTTCCTGGACCTGGTGGCTCTTACCTGTCTTGTGAGCAAACATTTTGTTGTTGAGCTTCAGAGCTCTTTACAAAACAAGCATCATTTGAGAGGTAGGAAAAGCAAGGCACCTGGTATTACCTGACATTTTAAACCTATGTATCAAGCCAAACCCACTCCATTTCACTGTCTTTCTGAAAACTTGCCACAGGCACAGCTGCTTTACATAGCCAGCCATTACTGGAAAGTGAGGAAGGGAAACAGTACCACATATTTAAGTTTCTCGGTTTAGGATGTTCTAAGCTGTGCCAGAAGGCTATCCATAGCACTTCAAGTCACAACAGTATAAGCAAATCCCACATCACACAGCCAAAAATCCCCAGAGGAATCCCCATCACCCTGCCATACTCAATTCCTAGACCATGAACCCAAGAGAAACTAAACAGCCCAACTACCGGCAGATACCAGAGCTTTTCCTCATATTTCCCTAGCTACAGATAAAGCCTGAATACTCCCACAGCAACTGCACATGCACTTTAGGCTTTGCAAAGAGAGAGAGGCAAAACAGACAGCAAAAGTGAAGATAGCTTGTTGATCTGGGAAAGTGGCAAGATGAATAAACAGGATGTTATCATACCAACAGAAAACCTGTCCCCATCACCGTATGCAAAGGATATGCCAGCCTGTAACAGTGATTAGAAGGCCCCAAGATCTTGCCTCATCTGAGACCCAGTGTCCTGCAAAAGTAGAATTTGATTTCAGACTTCAGAAAGAAAAGCAGGACAATGGGGAACAGAGACATTGACATACATTAGCCAGGCAAAGGATGGGCTGAACAAGCCCTTCTGTGCATCTACAGATCATAGAATCATAGATGCTCTAATGTGATACTGAAGTGATGGTTTGGTGCCATCTGGTTAATACCAAAGCTATTGGCTTGGAGTTTCTCAGGTCTTTCCCCACCACAGGGAACACAGCTTCCAAACTACAGGCATTTTCCATACATTTGCCTCAGAGGGAGGCTACAACACCAACA